GCTCAAGAGCAGTTTCAGGTAGTCACTCTAGTCAAGAAATTCAAGTTAAACTTATTAAAAAATAAACAAAGAAACTGTGCAATCTCGTGGTAGCCAATAAATAAAGGGATGAAGTCACCAGAAAAGTCCTGTGGGGCAATTCCACACATCACCCACCCGGTCCCACACGTAACCTTATTCTAATTGCTGAAGTCTTGGGTACATTATGATCTGCAGGTGCTGCGGGTGTTGCCGTCCTACCTTAGAACACATCTCCAAAGATAACTGCTGTCATTGCAACTCTGCTGGCCTTAAACTGCAGACTCAACTGGAGGATGTGGACTTGGTTTACTGCAGCTATCATAATAAGGTGATCCAGTGCAAAACTACTCAGTATTAATTGTATGATAGTCCTGTGTTATTTATCCTGAAGTGCTCGTGAAGCTTTGATTCATAAATAATTTAGCATTCTGGACCAAAAAGGGTGATGGGTTTAATCGTTTTCTTGCTTTACTTCTTTGCGTTATTTTCCTTTGCGTTATTTTCCTCACTTATATGTGTTGCCCGTGACTGTGCTCACATGGTGGGTGGCTCCTCCTACAATGTTCTGCAATTGGTATAGGATTTAATGGAGCCGAAACCAATTGTGGAATTGCACGGCTTTTAGGCACCCTACTGATGAACAGTTGCGACACATAGATATATATTTTTTAGCAACTACTATAATTTGCAGTCTGTCCACTTTGAATAATCCAATGCTGTGGTGGGCTAGAGAAATACACTTTATTTGAGTGTCGATGTATCGAAAACACACTAATTGAGGGTAATATTTTTACGTTCCCTACCGGAGAAGGGACAGCAATTTTACGTGGTCATCTGAGCCATGCAAAGGTCTAGCCGGCTGCAGAGAAAAGAGAGTACCTTCATTTATCAGTTATTTTAAGACCCTGAGTATTGGTCGGCGGTCCGGGGAATCAAACCCGCTACCACCCGCTCTGCAATCAAGCGCTCTACCGACTGAACTGATTCTGCTGCGATTAAAAGCCGCGAATAAATTAATATTTTCGCACGTATCGATTAGGACTGCTCATACTTCATCCGCACACACACACAAGAGCTCTTTTAAGCATGAAGGTAATTTTACTCCGTAGACTTTTTCAAAACGATCGCTTTTTTTGCTTGCCCGCATGGATAGAATAACGCGTCAAAGGTGTTTTTTTTTAGGGGAGTGTACGTCCATGTGGAAATCGCCTCCCTATTCTAGAAATCGCGCGCATCAAACTTGAAAGATTTTACGAACTCTTAAATACAATTTTTTTTATCTGGATTGAGCTTCAGCCTTGTATAGATTGACAATGGTTATGAGTGCCTTTTATAATTAACCTGGCTTTCCTTGAAGTAACCGTTTGACTCTGATCAAGCAGGCGCTCCATTTCAAGTAGTTTAAAGAAACAGAAAGTTATATTGAACTTGGTTGTTTCCGATTGCAAGTTCAGCAACCTAATTTCAAGCAAGCTACTTGAAAAGGTTGTTTGTTGATATTCTCGCTGCAGCGTTTTCTATTGTATGTCTTCCTACTTCTGCAAAAACAATACAGCACGATGAAGAACAATAACATTGTTTCATGTTTGTTTACCGTTCAAAGTATAATATTAATAATTATAATAATGATGGTGATAATGATGATGATGATGATGATGATGACGTATGGTGATGATTATTACTATGATTATTGTAAATTGGTGGTCCTCAGTGTCTATCTCATTTCCCATGCAGAGGAATCAGGTGGTATCCATTACTTTCTTTAATAATTAATTTATATTATAAACTGCGCAACAAGCAGTCTAACAAAGTTCCCCACACAATATTCAGCAGTATTTTAAATACGCAGATGCTAGTGAGGCCGAAAAAATCACTGAAACTCAAAATAAACAAAAAAGACCAAGAAACTGGCTAGCTGGAGGCAAACCAGTTGGTTATTTACAAGCGTGGTCGAGGATTGAATTTTGTACTTTACCGATAATAAATGCAGCTAGGGCTTAGGGCGGGGATTGAACTCGGTTCCTTCGGATTGCAACCCCTAAGCCCTAGCCGCTCGGCCACGCTGCCTTCACAAATAAATTTTATCACGTTTTATTACTTCCTTCATGCTCTTTAGAGCCATCGTTCTCGAATGATTCTAGGCTGTTGGTTTCAGTGCCTTCTGTCAGTTGTGTTTTCGGCTTTCCTTTTCTTCGTACATCACCTTTGCCCGAATTTGCAGCTTTTCCTTCGTCCAGTGCTTTTTCTCCTGCGGTCTTAGAAGTCTTTCTAAAGTACGCATTCTTCACCTCAGTTCGTCGCTGCCTTGGCATTTTTTTCTCCATATCAGGCGGTTTTGAACGCCTTTGGGCACATACTGCTCCAACGTACGGATCTTTGTCGCGAAATACAAATATCTTGTCCAGCTCGACTAAAATTTCGTCCGATTTTGAGACGATGCTGTCGCCGGGGCTATCGCTTTCATGTTGTGCAACGGTACTCTGCTGGTCGTAACACCTTTTTTTATCGAAGAGTTGCGCCGTTGAAGTTGGCGAGCATCGGTCAACTCTTGCACCCATGACACATTGGCTGCCTCTAAGTCCCAAAGCTTCTTCGTGGTTTCTCGTTTGGTCGACCTTCGATCTTTGTGGCCTTCCGCGATAAAGCTTTCCTCGAGTCTTGCTTTCATGGTCATCCCAAGCCTTTCTAGTTACTTTTATTTCCTTGCACATCTTTTTAGCAAGTTTTGCATTTGTTTCACTGGCTGCTTTTGAGGTGGATAAGGACATCTCTTGAAAATTGTACACAATTCCTAACTGAGCTCTAAATTGGAGTAAGGCAAAACGATTATTCGCGTTTCAGTGAATATTTCCAATCAACATCTTCAATCTTCATCGTGCTGTATTGATTTACCTTTTACGTTTCCGTTGGTTTGTGGAGGTAAACAAAAAAGAGTTAATTGCTTGTAAAATGGCTTGTACTTTTGGCGTCCGTGCTAATTAACTCAATTAACAGAATTCTAATTGAATCCCGCTTTCATTAGAAAGAACGAACCAACTAACGATACAATCAGCGTTTTTATGCGGCAATGAGTAGTTTTAACAAGTTTCTACTCATTGAACGCTATGCAAATTTTTCGTGATTTTGTTATTGACTTAGCGTAAAAATACTAGCATTAGCGAAAGCAAATAAGAAGTTATTCCCTTCGACACGTTAATCTTTGTTTCTTGCGTCTCGAATGAATAATGTCAGTTAAATGTGTCGCTCTTAATCTTACTAATTTGCAAATTCAAAGCTTACAAGTCAACAGCACCGGTAAAAGATAGGTTTGTTTGTGAAAAAGAAGAACACGGGAAAATGAACAAAGATTATTTTAGCCGCAAGAATAAACTCCTACGACTTTCTTTAGGGAAGAGGATTCAAAGTCGAGCTTTTTCCCGTGTATTACTAAGTTATACTATTTTACGAATGACATTTTTAAGATGGAATTTTTCCTAAGCAGTACATTCGTTTCTTTTCGTCTGTCTCTGGACATTTTGCAGAATCCGTTTTGGCCTTTTTTTCGTGTAGTCTGCAATTGAAAGTGGTAGACTCATTTATGGCTCTCTTTATCGTGAAATTTAACTTCAATTATTGTACGGCCAGACATTGTGGCGGCAGAAATTTAAAAAAACAATTTTGAACTTAAGTGAAAATGTGTAGTAGTTGCGTAAGGGTATATGTCATTAATTAAAAATGATTAATTTCGCTATATTCTAACAGGTTCCCCATTGCAATGGCTTTTTGTAAATGGGGCATTATATTTCACCCTGTTCCTGTGCCGTGTATGTTTTTTATGCAGGCCATTTGTGGTTCGTTTTGTCAAGAAATGTGGTTAATTTTTCTTTTTTTCGTCTAGCTTCCCTCAACCTTCTCTCTTCGTTTTCTTTTCTCCTCCACTCAACCTTTCAATCGCTATCACTCTATCAAACCACTATGAATTATGTTTTCCCCACCCCACCCTGGACAGGTGTGTACGTGTAAAGCCCCAGTAACGAGGGCGTTCTTTGGGTTTCGATGCGAAGCATCTCACTTGATTGACTTGCGTGAACGCTTTGTAACTCAAAAGTGTTTTGTTGTAGATCTACGAGGTGCCGTTTTACGTTGCAGTGGATCATGATAGACAAGCAGTTGTTGTGTCCATTCGAGGATCTCTCTCTATGGAGGTTAGAAAATACAACGCCATAGTTTTATTTGCGGAAAGAGATTGTTTTCAAAAGAACAGGCAGAGACCCTTACTTGTTGAAACTGTATAGTCGACACGGCGAAGAAGCATTTGTCTTGATTTCAGCCTAATTTACAGTAGAAAGGCTTTCTTGAACAGTCTCTCTTCGATGAGAAACACTCGCCGATGAAATTTACCCGTTCAATTTGGCAAGTTTTGCGGTCGTCGAGGAAAATTTAATCGCGTGCATGAGACTTTATAGCGACTGAGAGAGTCGTGAACAGTGGGCCATTTCAAAGCGTATCCTGGTGCCAATCTTTTCTTACGAAAATGCGTTTTCATTCCACGCAAATGAAACTCATTTTCATTTGAATAATTTGTGCACCTGGCCTCGTTTTGATTAAGAGGCTTAGAGCAACTCGGAACTGGGCTGTTGAAATCAAATATAGGTGAATCTTTGCTGACGTCATTGTTTACATTTTTCCTCATTAGCATAGGACTTAACTCATAGAAGCCGTGGCCGTATACAGCTATTTCCAAAAAGGTTGTCGGAAAAAGTGCACGCGACAATCCCAAAAGGTATTGTGGGTGGTTTTGAGTTCACTTTTCTTCACAGAAATTTGAAAGAATGGCACTTGAGGCCATGGGCATATGTTCGCGAGTGCTAAAAGAAAGCACTGACAAATAAATTCGACAGCTACAATCGTCACGAACAGTGTATTGATCATATCCCATGTTACCTTTCGGGATTGTCGCGTGCACATTTTTTCCGACAACCTTTCTCGAAATAGCTGTATATGAACTAAATGCAAAAGTTGAAAGAGCTAATTAAGTTGAGCGTTTGTGCAATTTTCAGCTCTTTGCAAGCGATATTAAAGGAAGTATTAGCCATCAAAAACTGCGAAATTGCTGTGTGGCAAAAAAAGTTAATTAGCCATACATTCTCTGTAAAATTTTGAGTTTTTAAAAGAGGATTTCTCCGAAACCATTCCGTGTATTGGGCTCAAATTTTCAGAGATAACTGAAACTGTTATGCCCTTTCAATATGCAGAGTTTTTTTATTAGCTTCATCAGATAGTGATAAGCATATGTCAATGAGGCAAAAAGTGTAAACAAGATTCGCCTATAGTACCGTTACCCAAACTGGCTGTGAGAGTGGAAAGGATTTATGACCACATGTAATGCAGTACACTGATTAGTTTACATCTGAGCTTACACTGAGATAGTGAAAGACGAACTGCATTCAAACTGCAATGTTTTACCATTAGGACGCTATGACGGATCTGACAGGACAACAGGAAGAGTTGAACATTGAAGGCGTTGGAACATGTTATGCGCATAAGGTAAACCTTGTGACTTTTTGGAGTTTCGAGTCGAGCTTCCTTGTCTTGAAAAGATTTTGTAGTGTAAAAGATATCAAGGCTAGCTTTTTACTCGTTTATTAATTTTATAGACAGTTTAGTGATCGTATAAACTTTGTTGTTTCCCTTCCTTGTTTTTGGAACATTTCTCTTCCATTCTTAGGGAATTCTTCGTTGTGCTCGTTATGTGAAGTCCGTTTTGGAGGAACGAGAGTTACTTCAGAACGCTTTCTCTAGAGCTGGAGAGGTATGTGTATGAAGCGGGCGGCTCAAGAATCCAAGTTCATTGGAAATACCCAGTGTCATTAATACTCTCATTCCCAATGCATAGGAGTCAGAGAATCAAATCACAAGACAAGTCTACTTTCTATTGCCAAGAAATAAATAGTTCTGTGCAAAGGTACTACCAAAAAAGGTTTCATTTGAATGTGAACACCATAGGGTTTCGTCCACAGATTGAGTAACAAGTGATCTCACCATACTGAATTCGTTCGAGGAGAATTTGCATTGTTTTGCGAGTCAAATGAAACCTATTTGACGAAACTTTTGCGTAGAACTATTCTCTGTTTCTAGGATTTCACCATAAAGATTTTAAAATTTTTGCGTGTTTTTCACTTTGCTTACTATAAAACGTGAGAAGGTTAAATTCAAATCAAAGTAATTGCTTCTAGTCGGTTGCAGCAAATGCAAATGCAAGGTAAACCTAGCCACGCAAATAGCACGGGAAGAAATACATGCCACAACTAGTGCAGTTGTTTCTGATTTTTTCGACGGGAAACCGATAAATGAATTCTTGTTATTCTAAGAGTAAGTCTCCATGGGTTTTCCTTGTTTGTTTGTTTTTTTTTATTTGTGGGGTCAGCTACGGAGAAGGGTAAATAGTAGGTAAAGCCAAGTACATACTGATGACTGTGACAAATCTCCTTCGTAAGATCCTGTCTGGAAATGATATTAGTAACTGATGATTGTGTTGTTATTATGGTTTTCTTAGGGATACCGTCTCGTTGTTGTGGGGCATTCTCTGGGTGCTGGTACAGCATCGCTGTTATCTGTTCTCCTCAAACCATCTTATCCTGGCTTAATTTGCTTCTCCTACTCCAACCCCAGTGTCCTGAGGTAAGTCATAACATTCAGGGTTAAGTTGTTCCGAACCCGGTCAGCGGTAATCCTTGGTTAACGACAAACAGTGCATATGAGTTGTCATGGCAACTTTATACCCCAGATTTGCGCTTGGCATTCTTCATAGCCATACAAATACAAGGAAATGAAAATAAATAAAATTTTTACCCATTGTTTGTTACGACACAAAAGTTACCTGGGCCAGGTATTTAAAATATCTAACAAGTGTTTAGCACATGAAAGAACACCACAGTCATGTATGCTACTGACCTAGCAGTTGCAAAAAGAAAGCCCTAAAGTAGTTTTAGCCTGGGAGTGCAAACATTTTCCGGTCGTCGCTTCTCTCCCTTCAAAAAGTACTTTTTCACCTGAAAAGCGACGACCAGAAACGCGCCTGCGTTCACCGGCTAAAGTATTTCAGGGTTGAATGGTATCCGAACCCTTGAGCTATCAAGCCAACTCGAAATTGTTTACAAGTGTTCTCATCTTTGACAACGTTTAGCTTATACTCAACATCCTTCACTCATTTCAGCTCATTTTTAACAGTCGTTTTCTCTATTTCAGTGCCCCAGCTACTCCTTACTGTGAAGAGTTTGTTGTCTCTGTTGTACTTGGAAAAGATGTAGTTCCTAGGTGAGCAACCCTTCTGTAGCTTATACTTTGTTCTATTTTGTTACACCTTGTGAGCTGGTGAGATCTTAAAGCTCTAACTCGCAGCTCCTTGTTGGTCAGCTTCGTCATTTGGTTTGTCATTGTAGAGTAAAATTAACTTTAATTGTAATTAGTAATTTACGATTTGCAATAACAATCTTTGCAGAGAAACAAACTTTATTTACAATTGCAAAATGTTTTATGAGAGCCTGAGGGCCGAGTTAAGTGGGAAATTTTCTCGGTAGCCACCAAGGTTGAGATATTTTCCGAGATTCACCCGCCATTAAAATGGTTATTTCTGAAGTAGTATGCATTGTACCTTCTCTGCTTAATTCTTTTTCATGTCCTATGCAGATGATGAAGGTGGCGCAAGGGCAAGTGTGATATACATAAATCATAAACCTTTTTACCGTCTTCTCCTTTTAAACGCTTTTAACGTTTTTCGCTCGCGAGTTGCTCCACATCATCTGAAAATTCAGAGCGAGTGATGTCACTATATCATCACATTCACTTGTGTAACCATGCCTAATTGTTATTTAAGAAAGTGCACAATTCTAGCTTAACAGGTTGTCTTAAAATTTCACTTCGTTGTAGGATGGGAGTTAAAAGTGGTGACGAGTTGCGCCACGATCTTGCGTCCGTAATCAGTAGATGCTCAGTACCAAAGGTAACTTGGTTTCATTACATCTCTTCATCGCTTTTTCATCTTACTTTTTCATCTTTCAGTATTTTCCTTTTAAGCACTGATTATTCTGTTCCATTTTTTCGTCTTACCTTTGAAAAGATTTGACACTCAGCCTCCGGGAATCAACTCTGCAGCTGTAGAGAGTTGAATACATGTGTCAGATCCAGATCAATCAAGAGCGTCAGTGAAGTTCGATTGAAATAAGCAAGCCCGTTCAAAGCGACTTCCTTTTGCGTTCATAAAAGGAGCTATGTTACTAGGATATTGCTGTTTCAGATAAAATCTGTGTTGAAATGATTTACTCAGTACCTTCGTACATACACAAAATGATCCGCCAGAGACGTGAAGAAGATATTACACATATTTCCTGAGGGCGTTCTAACCGTCATATATTTTTTGGTGATGTTTTTGCCGGCATAGCATTAAACTTGAAAAAGTTGGCTTACTTCGTCAAGTCTCAATCCATTTCCATCCTTTCAATCCGTTGCGAAGAGACGACAGGAAACAGTTGCAGTGCCTAAATGTGGCCTTAAATAACAAAACTGGACCATTATTTATGAATTCAATTGAGCCATAGACAAGTTTTAGCTTTTTTAAAAATATAGCCAACAGCTTAAGATAAACCCTTTTAGCACTGCCTGCTTTTTTTCATTTTAAAGCGTTTGTTAAATTGTGCTTCCACTCTAACACTTCTGTTTGTTTTTATTTGTTCACAGTACCGTGTGTTAGTGAGCGGCTGCTGGCGAGCCTTGTTCTCGTTATTGGGTCCCAGTTCTCAACCGGGTCAAGGTTGGCCTTTTTTCTCTTCCTCTCGGCAATACAGATCCACTCATCTTACATGGGAAAATAATCTTACTCAACCTCTCCTTGAAGGCATAGAAGGTATACTGAGTAACAATAAAGCTGCTGAACATAAACTAAGATAATAATAACATTGCTATTTTTTGTAAATGAATCGAAGTTATAATCATCTTAAGCAAGTTATTGTAACCTCTGGAACATTAATATGTATAGTGACCATTTGCAATACAGATGTAGCAAAAACGTTTTAATAATATAAGTAATTTTGGTGATGATGATGACGATAAATTCGATACAAGTTAAAACTAATGATTATATGAATAGGTGAAAGGTTGCGAAAAACAATAGTAAAGTGTTGTAGTTATTTCTGGGACGCATAAGCTATGCTTGTGGTTTGTTTGTTTGTGTTTTTTAAGGCTTAATACTGTGCTGAGCCAGATGCCTTCACTGCCTTCATATCCGTTAAAAAATCATTTTGACTTACGCCTATCTGTGTCAATTTCAATGCCATAGAGCGTTTTCACGTGACGTCAGTTCCTCCATATTAGGGAGCTTTTGAGTGACGTATGTCAACCGGAAGTGAGGTCTTTTTCATTTTAAAATTAATTGACGCTACCAAATTTGTATTACTTAGTCTCTTTCTTATAATAAAGACGATTTGTCTAAATATTTGGGCAAAAGTGCCGCTCAAGAATGAAAAAAGTCCACTTCCGGTTGACGTGTGTCCCTCAAAAACGACTTTGCTTAAGTTCACTATTGGTGTCCCAAAACAATTAACCGGCGGCCATGTTAGGGTTCCCAACCAATCCTGTGGGAGCTGAACCTTTCCTAATGTAAAAACCTTAACTTTCGTTTGTTCCAATAAAGTGCCATAACTGGTGGCCCCGTCAGTGAAAACGCTCTATAAAGTCGCTCTAAGTACAAAAATTTGCTGTCACCTTGTAAATGGTTTGAACCGAAATATAATTTGGTCGTATGATCGAAATTTCTAGATGAGACGTCAGGCCTGACGGGTGGCGAGGCCTCTCACGGCTACTTGGGTGAAAATGAGCTGGAACCAGTACCAGTATCCTTGCCCCCTGTCTCCGCTGAGCAGCTCTTTCCCGCTGGCAAGATTTTACAAATGGATGAAAGGCCTTCTTGCAGGTAAGACTTCTGCTAATGTTTTGACGCGGAAACCATTTCATACTTGTTCAAAGGAAAATTAGGATTTTTTTTAAGTTGATTTTTGGAGTGGCGGAAGGAATGGTGCTTGTCGCCAAGAAAGTGGTTATCTCATTTCCCTGGGGCATCCTGAACAAACACAGACGAGTTGCTCTAAGGACGATAGGCGCAAATTCATTACATTTCATATTTTCTGTTAACAATTAATCCAGGAACTTCGAACATTTCGGTCCAGGTCTTTTTGTGATAACCAAGAGCAATGCTGACCCACCAAGTAGTAGATAAAAAAAACTTAATAATTTGAGATTTTCTCTGCTTCAAAGACTCGAAGCAACGCAGTATGACATCATTTGGGCGGATAAAGAGAATTACGCCAAGATAATCATCCACCCCAGCATGCTTAGCGACCACATGCCTGACCGTGTTATGAGGGCCTTGGAAAGAGTTTCACTCCTCATACGGGGACATCACAACGTCCAAGAAGTGTAGTTGGACAAGCGTTGCAGTGACTAGAAACGAAGAAACTAGCGGTACTTTTGCCTTTATAGGGATGTAGCTGTGCAGCCGAGGTTTGGTTAAAAACATAAAAGTGGGACTGCCTCCCTTGAAATTCATTAAGTGTAAAAAGATGGCTTTAGTAACCTATGACTAGGGTGAAAATGGTATGCAACCAAAAATAGGATCAGGCCCCGCAAAAGTTTAAAATAATGATACCTTCAACTTGAAGAAAGGTACTACAAGAGTACGGCGTTTTGGGTATTCTACTGATGAACAGTTGCAACTTTTAGATATATGCTGGAACAGCAATTATTTATAGTCTTTTACCATCGAATTAGGAAAAGTGGGCTACATTCAAGTGTCCTGTCGTCAAACCATCGTGACATCATTAATAGCGTACACAACGTCTTGGTTTTCATTGCATGCCAAGCTTCAAGGACATCTGTTGTGGAGGATGAAATGATGAAAATTATAGCTAAATTCAGATAGCTTATTGGAAAAAAGCCAACGCAGAAAGTTTTTAAGTGTTTCCACCAGGAGACAAGGGCAAGCGTGACATGCACGAACGTGAGATTATTGCGTACTGTTATACGTGTCTCTGCCAGGTGAGCTTATAGGATGTCTGTGATGGTACATGGAGAATGTCAAAATACTGTTGCACAAAATGAACGATATATATGAAGAAAAAAGAACCATCAACAAGCTCATGGAGGCCTCCTGGTTTGGTGGTAATTCATTTCCATAATTAAGGATAAAATTGTGTTTTATCAATTGATTGATAACCCCTGTACAGTCAAGTCATCATTTTCCTTTGAGGAAAGTGCTTGTACTGATTTGGCTAAATAAAATAAATTGAAGATTTTATTTTTAGGCAACTATTAAATAGTGCTTACACAGTGTTGTAATAAATTCCAGGCGAGATTTATTGTAGGTTAAATTATTTTGAAAACGGGTTCTCGCCTTTGTTGTACATGTATTATGAATTTTAAATAAAAAAATTGTAGTCGAAAATATTGTTACTAGGTTCTTGTAAAATCGACTTCCTGAAAGAGATATTCATACTCTTATACTGCCGATCACTCTTCGTCTGGCCCCTAGTAACTCTCGACCGTGTCCAGCCAACATAGCTCTAGGGATTATTAATGGGGGGGGGTGGGGGGGGGGGGTCTTATGGAGCGAGATGACCATTTAGGCCAGATTATATTGAAGTACATAAATGATAAGTCATAAAGTCATAAATATGATATATATTTATGACCATCAGAAGAGGTAACGAAGTGATGAAGGATGAGTTCTACATGAGACTTCAAGACGTACTAGATGGTAGGAATGTACATGATAAGCCGTCGGTTGCCACTGGAGACATGAATACAAAAGATGGGGATCAAAATTAGGACTATGAAAGGGTTATGGGCGAACACCGACTGAAGGAACGGAACGGTAATGACATAAATGAGGTAGTAATAACAGGAACTTTGTTCCCACACAAAACCATCCACAAAGCAACGTGGATTTCTGCGGACAGGAAGAGCAGAAATCAGAAAGATTATGTGTTGATTGGTAAGCGGTTCAGAAATTCGGTGGAAGATACAAGAGTTTACAGGTCTGTAGGCATCTGAAGTGTCCATTATGCGGCATGTATAGGATGATCAAAATATGGTCGCACAGATCACAAGTGAAGACGAAAAGCGGGAGAATCCGGTAGGATACATTTAAGTTAAGGGGTGAAGACTTGCTCCGGACGTTTAACATCACATGGCGAAATAGTTACCACGCAGTAGAGGAGGAGAAGGAGCCAGTAGTTGGGGGAGAGGGTTGAACATAGAGTTATCAAAGATCAGAAACCTGAAAGAGTACAGGTATCGGAGAGGGTATAACCCTACTGTCTATTCCTGGGAAGATAGTGGGGAAAATTGTTATCGATAAAGTATTAAAGGGATGGGCAAAAGGCTGAGGAAGGAGCTGGAGAAGAGGAAGAGGGACCACAGACTGGGTCTTCATCTTGATGATCAATAGAACAGGTGAATGAGTGGCAAGCTACAGCTGTACCCTGTATAGAGTTCGAAAAGGCCTTCGATTCATCCATCGTGAAAGCTTGTGAGTAATTATGTGCAAATATAAAATCTTCTGAGATAATAGTGCGATTAGTAAAATTATTCTGTGAGGACTTTTGCATTGCTCTTGTAGACAAGGAAGAAGTATCTCAGTGGTTTTACATTAAGACCGTTGTCAAGCGAGGCTGTAAAGAAGTTTTGCTCCTGACTAATGAGGAGCACAGTAATGGCTTAAAGGGGAAGTTCACTTCACCCTTACTCTCCTCTACTAAACATCAGCTCCCGGTTGTTCAATTGTTGGATAGCGCTATCCACCGAATAAATCACTATCCAGCGGGTAAGTATGAGGGAAACTAATTGCATTATTTGTCTGAATAGAGATTTATTCGATGGATAGTGCTATCTACGTTTTGAACAACTGGGGCCAGAGTCAGGTCAAGACAATGAAACTAGATGAGGAAGGCAGATTGTTGGACTCAAAACCACTTTAAAAAGAGTTTCGTGCACAGGATAGATACAAAGATACAGGAAAAGATTACGATCAAAGGAAAGGATGTTGCAGATGTCGACGATTTCACTTATTTAGNAGAGGGACCACAGACTGGGTCTTCATCTTGATGATCAATAGAACAGGTGAATGAGTGGCAAGCTACAGCTGTACCCTGTATAGAGTTCGAAAAGGCCTTCGATTCATCCATCGTGAAAGCTTGTGAGTAATTATGTGCAAATATAAAATCTTCTGAGATAATAGTGCGATTAGTAAAATTATTCTGTGAGGACTTTTGCATTGCTCTTGTAGACAAGGAAGAAGTATCTCAGTGGTTTTACATTAAGACCGTTGTCAAGCGAGGCTGTAAAGAAGTTTTGCTCCTGACTAATGAGGAGCACAGTAATGGCTTAAAGGGGAAGTTCACTTCACCCTTACTCTCCTCTACTAAACATCAGCTCCCGGTTGTTCAATTGTTGGATAGCGCTATCCACCGAATAAATCACTATCCAGCGGGTAAGTATGAGGGAAACTAATTGCATTATTTGTCTGAAGAGAGATTTATTCGATGGATAGTGCTATCTACCTTTTGAACAACTGGGGCCAGAGTCAGGTCAAGACAATGAAACTAGATGAGGAAGGCAGATTGGTTGGACTCAAAACCACTTTAAAAAGAGTTTCGTGCCCAGGATAGATACAAAGATACAGGAAAAGATTACGATCAAAGGAAAGGATGTTGCAGATGTCGATGATTTCACTTATTTGGAATCCAAAGTGTATCGAGATAGGGCTGGCATGAAGAAACTGAGGAACAGATTGTGGCAAGCGAGGGGTGCAGTGATGCACAGACGTAAGAGAATCAGGAGCGCCAATAACCTCTCGAGGAAAAGTAAGCTGAGGATGTCTGAGTCTTTTGTGTCAATGTTCCAAATCGACGTCAATTGAAGGTACGCGTTGTCTCGATTATCCTTATCAATATCTGAATTCGTGATTCTGATATTTGAACATGGGTTTTTTCTTTCACTTGTAATTTTGCCTTTTTCAAAAGATATTCACAAGTTACAGCGTACGAGAAACTCTGCTGTTTTAAGGACACTGGAATATGTGCCATACCTACGTTATTGGCAATATTCGCAGAATATTGGGAAGGTTATGGATCAGACGAGGAAAGACGCAATCAACAAATGTAAACTGGCTTTAAAATACAAGGATATAAAGTTTTTGCTTTTCAGGATGGCGATGGTGTGCCTTATCGGACAAGTGTGAACCAGGTGTAGCCTCCCCCGCAGACATTCTTAGGCGTGCGTCACGCGTTCCTTCCCCTTCGTGGGGAAGGAACGCGTGACGCACGCCTAAGAATGTCTGCGGGAAAGGCTAAACCAGGTGGCGAAGGTGGACCGTTGGCTGTTATCCACGTCCATCACATTCAAGGTATGATAAAAAACTGTTAAACACGGAAAGAAAAAAAAAGTAATGATACGTTCTTTGGAGGTGGAAAGTGTTGGGACCTAACCCTAACTCCAGTGACATAAGTTAAACTGGCGATTTCCCCCCTCCCACCCAAAACAATGTTGAATTTTGAGCAAATTGGGTGGAAATGAGCCCGTTTGGGGTCGCAGTATTGTCGGGGAAGAAAGTGTGTGTTGGGGGGGGGGGGGGGGGGGATCACTTCACCCTTACTCTCCTCTACTAAACATCAGCTCCCGGTTGTTCAATTGTTGGATAGCGCTATCCACCGAATAAATCACTATCCAGCGGGTAAGTATGAGGGAAACTAATTGCATTATTTGTCTGAATAGAGATTTATTCGATGGATAGTGCTATCTACGTTTTGAACAACTGGGGCCAGAGTCAGGTCAAGACAATGAAACTAGATGAGGAAGGCAGATTGTTGGACTCAAAACCACTTTAAAAAGAGTTTCGTGCACAGGATAGATACAAAGATACAGGAAAAGATTACGATCAAAGGAAAGGATGTTGCAGATGTCGACGATTTCACTTATTTAGAATCCAAAGTGTATCGAGAGAGGGCTGGAATGAAGAATCTGAGGAACAGATTGTGGCAAGCGAAGGGTGCAGTGATGCACAAACGTAAAGAGAATCAGGAGCGCCAATAACCTCTCGAGGAAAACTACGCTGAGGATATCTGAGTCTTTTGTGTCAATGTCCCAAATCGACGTCAATTGAAGGTACGCGTTGTCTCGATTATCCTTATCAATATCTGAATTCGTGATTCTGATATTTGAACATGGCTTTTTTATTTCACTTGTAATTGTGCCTTTTTCAAAAGATATTCACAAGTTACAGCGTACGAGAAACTGAGCTATTTTAAGGACACTGGAATATGTGCCATACCCACGTTATTGGCAATATTCGCAGAATATTGGGAAGGTTATGGATCAGACGAGGAAAGAGGCAATCAACAAATGTAATCTGGCTTAACTGCGCTTTTCACAAACATGCGAATTCTGAAGTTCAAAAGCCAACTGACGATTGAGTTTTTCGCTGCCGTCAATCATCTTAACGGACCTCTTAGGAAACAAAACTTTACTTTAACAGGTTCAAAAGGTCAAGGTTTGTGATTTGTGATTGGTGGATTTCGATCCGTTTTGTGTGTTTCTGCGTTTCAAGGTTCGCTGCTTGTGATCGTAATTATGATTGACGGCAGCGAAAAACGCAATTGTGAAGGCGGCTTTTTGTACTTCAGAGTTCGCATGTTTGTGAAAAGCGCAGTAAAATACAAGGATTTAAAGTTTTTGCTTTTCAGGATGGCGATGGTGTGCCTTATCGGACAAGTGTGAACCAGGTGGCGAAGGTGGACCGTTGGCTGTTATCCACGTCCATCACATTCAAGGTATGATAAAAAAACTGTTAAATACGGAAAGAAAAAAAAAGTAATGATACGTTCTTTGGAGGTGGAAAGTGTTGGGACCTAACCCTAACTCCAGTGACATCAGTTAAACTGGCGATTTCTCCCCTCCCACCCAAAACAATGTTGAATTTTGAGCAAATTGGGTGGAAATGAGCCCGTTTGGGGTCGTAGTATTGTCGGGGAAGAAAGTGGGGGGTGGGGGATATTGGGGGATAAAGGGATATGAACCCAAAGCTGATCCAAAACTTAATACTGGGAGCAGAGGCCTAGGTAACAATAACTTGGAAGGGTTTTTTCCACCGTGTCCCAAGATCTGATGATCTCCATTGTTACCTGGCAGTTAACATGCACCTTCCACACATCCACGAACGGTAGTTATAGATCAACAACCATAATTACCGTGTTATTTTCTTGATAAATAGATCCTAGTTTGCCGGTGATAGGTATACATAATGCAGTCGTTAAAATGTGGAACGAGGCTTTTTTTCCATGTACATTCAATAAGTGAATGTGTCCCAACTTTAACCATGCAGTTAAGGTCATAGCAAATTACCACAAGGTCCATAGAAAATACCTTTTTTTTCCAAATCA